TATCTATCTATCTATCTATCTATCTATCTATCTATCTATCTATCTATCCGTCTATCCATCCATCCATCCATCCATCCATCCATCTATGTATCTATCTATCTATCTATCTTTCCATCTATCCATCCGTCTATCCGTCCATCCGTCCATCCATCTATCATCTATCTATCTGTCTATCCGTCTATCCGCCTAGCTGTCCATCCATCCATCCATCCATCTATCCATCTGTCTATCCGTCCATCAATCCGTCCATCCATCTATCTATCTATCTATCTATCTATCTATCTATCTATCTATCTATCTATCTGTCTGTCTATCTGTTTTCATTCATTTCATTAAAGTATATAGTAATTAATAACATGAATGTTATTTTCAATGATAAAATGAATACAATGTATTAATTAATGAAAATTAATGAATACAACAATTAAATTTAGTATGTATTTGTTTTAATGTTTGTCTGTTTTTATTTCTAATTTCTGAAAAATATCTAATCCTGAAAGATAAAATGTATCAGTTTCCACAAAAAAATTCAGCAGCACAACTGTTTTCAACATTGATAATAATCAGAAATGTTTCTCGAGCAGCAGATCAGCATATTATACTGATTTCTGAAGATCATGTGACACTGAAGACTGGAGTAATGATGCTGAAAATACAGCTGCGCATCACAGGAATACATTACACTATAAATTATAATAATATTTCACAGTTTTTCACTGTATTTTTTAATAAATAAATGCACCCTTAGTGAGAACAAGAGAGGCCGAACACATGAGAGAATCGACACAGAAGCCTGATCAATAATCCATCAGTGTCTCTATTGACGAGTCACTTACTAGACACTTTATCCAGAGTGTTTTCCGCTGGTTTCTCCTCCTCAGTGGTCAAATTGTCCAGTAACTCTCTAGTGGGACTGGGTAAAGATGGCTCTCCTAGGAGAAAACAACACAAAAGCACATTTCCTGTCAAACAGTTCGGAAACACATGAATCACGTTATAAAGCTACTGCTTGAATGACTGAGTGAGTTTGTAAATAAATATAAAATTAGCCACGAATTTCTGCACAAAACAAACATTTAAATGAATTCTGTCAAGCTGTCAAACTCCAAAAGGGGAAAACAAGTTGAATTGTGACCCTGGAGCACAAAACCAGTCATAAGGGTCCATTTTTTGAAATTGAGATGTATACATCATCTGAAAGCTGAATACATCAGCTTTCCATTAATGTATGGTTTGTTAGGATAGAACAATATTTGGCTGAGATACAACTATTAGAAAATCTGGAATCTGAGGGTGCAAAAAAATCTAAATATTGAGAAAATCATCTTTAAAGTTGTCCAAATGAAGTTCTTAGCAATGCATATTACTAATCAAACATTAAGTTTTGATATATTTACGGTAGGAGATTTACTAAATATCTTCATGGAACATGATCTTTACTTAATATCCTAATGATTTTTGGCATAAAAGAAAAATCAATCATTTTGACCCATAGCGACTCCAGGGACACATTTGTTAAGAAATCATCTTTTTGTGCTGGTGTTTGTTTGACCTGTGCAGGGAGGAAGCTTGCAGACGGACACGGACTCGGGTTTGTCTGCGTCACACTGTCCCGAGCTGCCTTCAGACGGCCTGCAGATGACCTGCCGCTGCTGGATCCCTTCACCGCAGCTCACCGAACACTACAGGAAACACGTCACATTCAGACAGATCATTGGGATGAGCGCTAGAGGAGATCTGTGTGTGAATATGTGTGTTACTGTCACATGCTTGATCACATCAAACTCGCAGTGAGCCGATATTACCACTTTAAAAATAACTTTGCATTTCTAGAAAGCAATACTAACTCGCAGGTAAAAATGTCAAACTCAGGAAATTGTGGCCTTACAATGACAAATATTATAAAATATACAAAAATAATTGTTATTAAATACAGATAATTTTTTTTATCTAACAATAAAAATAAAAATAATTGGAATTGGAATTTTAAAAATGTATTACAAAATTATTACATTTAGAAATTAAACTTTTCAATAATAAATCTTAAATGCAAATTATTTATTTAAACCAGTAGTGTATTTGTGTATGCATTTATTTAATATTTGTAGCACCTAAAAAAAAACAATACCATAAATTAAGCTATAAATGAAACATTTCTAGAAAATAATACTAAAGTATACTACTAAAATTTATAAATTAAACCTAAACCAAAAACATACAAACTAAATAACTAAACAGATTTATGATGCACATGCAATTTATAAATACTCATATAAATATAATAAATACATCTTAAATATACTAATAGATGTAATTTATTAAATTTATTTTATTGTATTTTCATTATTCCTATTTTTATGGTTCTATTTTAATAATATTTAAATGTATTTACTGAATTAACTTAAATATTTATCTTATATTTCTGTTATGTGATTATCATCTAAATTATTCTCAGTGTCTCCTTATCTCTTACATGCAGTGTGAGTGTGTGTGAGAGTGTATGTGTGTGTGTGTGTGTGTGTGTGTGTGTCTCTGTGTGTGTGTGTGTGTGTGTGTGTGAGTGTGTGTGTGTCTGTGTGTGTGTGTGAGTGTGTG